GTGATACTGCTCATGTAAACTCCAAAGGGGATACTTTACTTCAGAGGATCTATAACCTTATCAAATCTCAAGGCAATTCAATTCAAATTCAATGAACACTTGGGGCATCAGGGCTTTAAATTCCAGTACCTCAATGCGAAATATAAACTAAAATATAAATCAAGAAAATAGGATTTCCGAAAAAGTGTAATTCGTTGCACTAAAAGATATGAATAACTTTATGTACGGAATATCCAGAAGAGAACTGAACGCATGCAGCAAACAGCAAATACAATATCCAAGGAGCAAAGAAAACAACTTATAGTAGAAAGATTAGACAGGTACCACTCTGAGGGACATATTTGTCCCACAATGAATTTCCACAACTCAAGTTTTAGGTGGCCACGCATTTGATTTTATGTCCACAAGAAAAAGGCCAACAAAAAACAATGTGAGACTAATGTCCCAGATCAGCTTAGATCTTAGAAGTAAATTTCAAGATCCATCACTGCCGAACTTGGATAAGCAGTATAGTTAGTACTGAACATTTTCTTGTTCTTGCAGAAAACATGAAGCTACTTGTGGATACACAAAATCATAAAATTTAGAAATTCGATCTGTTCCTTTCCAATTGCTTAATATGACAATCCAGTAGATCTCAATCAAGACCATGACAACAAGATTTCTTTCGAGTATTATCACACTTCCTAAGCAATTCCTAGCCCACTCAATAAAGTAAAGGTTTTAGGGAAAATCTCAAGCACATCATACTGCACAACTTTTATGAAACAAACCATTCAATACATAATGCAGTTTGTCCAATGAATTGTTTAATCTAAAATTCCCCGAGGACTACACATGTAGAGTGCTCTCAACACCACAAACAAACTGTCAACTTCAACCTAAAGGTTGACCAAATGAATGCTTGTGTTATAACTTATAAATTATACTAATTCAAAGCCTTTGAGCCAAAACACCCCTCCTAATATCATGGTACATACAATGCAGCATGGCGATTACTAATAAGCATCCTGATCTTTCATGAAAAATACATATTGGCACTATACTCCAACTAAGCACCACCCATAGGCCATCACTTTGCAAACTTCAATCTTGTCATATTCTCAACAAATTCAACCACCTATCTATTTCTTCATTTTTTTTTTCCATATTTCATTTAGAAGAACTTTCTACCTCGTAGACCTATTGGGCTCGGTAAGAATCTTGGCAGACGTGCCCGCAGCACGCACGAGTTTCCCACCTTGTCCCGGTCGAAGCTCGATGTTGTGGATCTGGGTTCCGATCCTCATATTCGCCAGAGGCATACAGCTCCCAATTTGGGAGCTTATGTCGAGTGTGAACATCTGATTCATCATGGACGATCTCCATGAGGACACTTGATTGGACTCCACGGCCTCAATACCGACACCTGCAAATCAAGAAATCGTAGTAACATTGAAGAACGACAATCTGAAGGGAGGGAATCACATTTTCTCAACCGCACCTGAAACCTATAATCGTAAAAAGTCCTGAACTTTTGCCCAACAAACCAATTTAGAAATGAAATTGCAGCAAAGGAAACAGTACGAGATAGGGTAAAGTTACACGAATACGAAGAGAGAAAATGGCGATTACCGGAGGAGAGAGAGCGAGTAGGGGCGTGGAGAATTGAGCGGAACAGAGCAGAGGAACATATGCGAGCTCTGTAGAGCGCCATTTTTCATCGCTCGTCAATTTCAGGGCTTATGGGGGGTTTTGCAGTCTGAGTCGCGCTAGTTTTCTGACATTATAATTGTTATACAGCAGCAGGTGCTGTGTTCATTTACACAGCAGGTACCCCCAACTCTACTTTGGTTAGGGGCTGCTGTGGCTAACCGATGAAGATGTGTATTTGTGGATTTGTGGGTTTGGTTAACACATGAGTTTTGTGCTCGAAAGAAGACTTTTTGTTATATTTTATTGCTTAATGAAATCAAAGATGACTAGTACAATACTCGTGTATTACACGAGTGCTTGTTAAAAAATAATTCTTATATTTTAAAATTAATGAGAAAATTATATTAAATTTAGTTTACTTTTTTACAAAAAAAAAATATATTACTATATATTTTGGAATGATATGTGTTACTTATGACTTACATGTGTTATATTATATTAGTTTTTATAACTTATATCATATAACTACT